AAAAAAAAAAAAAAAGTATTATGGAGTATGTTCATTTCCAAAAATATTCAGTGGGGAACCTTCCACTGCTCCCCAACAACTTCTAAGAGTCAAACTGCTTCGTAAAGCATCCCAGGCAGACCCTCCAAACCTGGGTCCAGACACCCCTCCACCAACACATCCAGGGGCCCTCTCCAGTCTCATATGCCTGAGGCAAACAAAACCACTACAGACGGCCCCCCATGTGCTTTGACCTCGGTATGAGCCATCGCCACCATGTAGAACACTATCCTCTGGCAGATTCCCTCTCCAATTTAATTTGACCCACCTGGCATACTCCTGGCCAACCTCAGGCCTAGCTAAAATGCCTCCTTCTCTGTAGTCTCTCTGAATGCCTCACCCCAATCCCACATGGAGCTGCTTGCTACCTCTCAGAATCATGCCATAACATAGATTACGAAGTACCAGAACTATTTGCTCCTATCTATTCATCTAGACTGTGAGCTCCTTGAAGACACAGTCCCAGCCCAGAATAGGCATGCCATAAACAAAGTAAAGAGAGTGGGCAGGCAGCCAAGATATTTTTAGGGAATCTCAAGTGGTTCAAAGATGCCAGCACATCAAGGGGGAAGTGGGGAGAAATGGCTGGCGTGGAATGGAGAAGGGTATCACCATCACGGCTAAGAAGTCCACACAGAAATAAAAAGGAGCCAGGAAGGCACTTGATGGTTTTTGAGGATTTGAATGAGAGAAGCATTTGAGAGAGCAGCCTCCCTCCCCCAGGCTGTTCCCACATGGAGGGATTCCAGGCTTTTCTCCCCAGCCCTTGCATGTTACTTTACTTAGTTGGGCTCTGCCTTTGGCAGAGGAGGGCATTCTGGTCTGCGTCCACAAACACATGGAAGATGAGTGGAAAACATTCTGCTGAGATGAGAGGGGCCATGTGCATCTGCCAGGATGCCTGTGACTAGGTAGATAATCTGTCTTCTTATTGAGGGTAAGCGAGCAGCAGGGCCATCTGGCCACAGGTTAAAAGCCACTTTCTTCAATCATTTTAACTGGTAATGAAGTGACACTCTGTGCTCCACATGCCTGACTCCTATATCCATTACTTAACTGATTCCTAGTGTGGGAGAAAAAAAGATGGGTGTTACTTCCTGGCTTGCCCTCTCCCCCTCCCAAAAATACAAAAACCTTGACTCTGGTTAGATTAATTAAGTAGTAATAAATAGTTGGAACGATGTGTGTAAAGTATTTAGTATATAGTTAGTCCGTGCTATTGTCAGCTGCTTTTGTGGTTGTGATTGTAACTGGAGGCAAGAAAGTCAGGAAAACACTGGAGGAGGACAGCGTGACCTGTAGCATGACAGCAGGATGAACGAGAGGGCACAAGAGCTTTGTGGAGGAAGAATGACTAGCATGTGGCAGTAGGGAGTATAAGGGATTCAGTTTCCAAGGTTGTGGAGCTGCTATAAGACAGAGAAACAGCAGTCAGAGGCAATGAGGAGGTGACATGGTAGGCATCGGCTCATGAGCCTGCACTCGCCGCGAGATGGAGGGAGAAACACGAGGAAAAGGAAGTCTACTGACACTGAGCCCTGACAGTCAGAGACAGCAGAAAGAAAACCGTGTGGGTATTAAAGACGAGGGGACAAACCAACCACAAAAAGGCACTAGTGAGGAAACTAGAGAAATTTTAATACGAACTGTTAGTATTTCAGCCAAAGAAAAGATCAAGCCAATATGCCAAATTTTAATACATAGAGATTATGAGTATAGACAGGAGGTCCAAGATGGTACTCTAGTTAGTTCTATGTAGTTCACAAATGTTTCATAATAACTATTTCAAAAGTAAAGTAAGAGGATGGGAGGTAAAGGAGACCTCCTGCACTGACTTCTACTATCCACCAGTGACCCCACCCACCACATCCCCCCTCAAGGCTGCAACTTGACCCACGTAAGCTGTGAGGCTGGAGAGTAAGGGCATGTCGCTGGGGTAGGTGTCAGTCCAGCTGCATCCAATGCAGCTCTGCTATATCCCACTCAGATCCACCAAGAGCCTTTTTCCACAAAACGAACAAAAAACATAGCTTTTGGCGACAGTGTTCTATGAGGAAGCCTGAACAAACATGTTCACATTTATGGCTTTGGGAATTCATCCTGGTCTCAAAAGGATACTCTGTCAACAATGCTATTCTGGGAGATGAAGGATGTATGGAGGGTGGAGGAGGGAGAATTCTCAGGGGAGTCTATAGGGCAGTCGAGATTTGTAAGGAAAAAAATCCTTGAATTTTAGAGTAAGAAAGGCCATCTCCTTCCCAACACTCAAATATCTGAGCTGCAACCATTGCGACTCTAACCCTTGTGCCTCTAAAGAATAGAAGGTCAGAGGATATACCCAATCAGCCACCGCCGTTCCCGAGGATGCAATGCAATTCTTTGGAACAACAGTCACACAGAGATAAGACAAAGGAACTCCCAGCAAGCAGGCTGGAAGTGAGCTAGTGCCACCTGATATAAGGACGGCAGACGGGAGGTCCATCCTGAGGGTCTCTCCTGTCATCTTGGACACTCGCGACACCCAGCCTCCAAGGATCCCTTCTGGCAATTCACCTTACCACTGCCCAGAGCCCATACCTCGGCCAGTTCCCGCTCGCTGATACTTCTGGTGGCACTCCCTTTCTTCCTTGTGCATGGCTCTCCCCCGGTGACCCTGCCGTCCCCTTTGGCATAGCTGTGCACAGTGAGAATTCCTGTTTGCCCCTGGCAGGACAGAGGGTCGCTGGTTTCTGAATCAGAAGAAATAGAATCCTGTGACAAACTAGAGCCCAGGCTCAAAGATGATTTCTTTTTGGAACCTGAGAAGACAAGGCGTCCCCCTAAGGAGGCAGGATTCACAGAAAGGTCCAAGACAGCTGCTTCTTGTTCCTCTTCTTCCTCCTCCTCCTCCTCCTCCTCTTCTAGTTTGACGTTTTTAAGCTCTTCAAATTTGACTTCGGTGGAGTCAGAATAATCTGAAACACATACACATTGGACAGCCAACTTCCTCCCGCACTTCTGAACTTCATGAAAGGCAGGGGCAAAAAGAACATAGGGGGCAAGTGAGGCCTGGCCCTGATGTCTGGCTCTATCACCTACAAGGTCACTGTGTGAGGAGGGGGTAACTGCTTAGCCTCTCTGGGCCTCCAGTTTCCCCTTCTGTAATGCAAAGATACCACCAGGGTTCTGTGTGTAAAATGGAGCACAGCCTGGCACACAGCAGACAGTAAGTGGCAGCTACCATTTCCTCAGGAGTCTCCTGTGGGAAATGAAGGCCTCAGCTCAGCTTAGCACCCACAGGATAGAAAATCTGAAGGGAAGGCAGGCCAGCCCCAGGATCCGAGCCCATAGTGCTGTCTGGCTCTCAGCAGACATACCAAGGTACTGTCTACACAGAGATTCAAGCCTGACTAGAGACTGATAGCAGCCCTTCCCCAACAAATGTACCCTCAACAACCATCCAAGTGACCGCTCTAGAACACTGACCGCACCACTCTCTTCCTAAAGTACAAAAGGCTACTCAAGCCTCCAAGTAAACAAATCTAAAATGGCATCTCACTCTCTAGCCTCATCTCCTGGTAACACACCTGTCTTCTACTCTTCCACCTCCATATTCAAATTATAGGAAATCACTACCACTTCCCCAGATAGCTCGTGTCCTTTCACATCTCCATGCCTTCGCCCCTGCTGCTCCTCTCAGGGATGCCCTAAGTCCCCCACTCTCTGTCTGCCTGGAAAATCACTACTGATCTTGTAAGAACTGGTTAATCATCACTTCATAAAAACCTTCGGTGCTTCCCTGAGCCTTCACCAGGCAGAGAGAGGGGGCCATTCCCCTATGTTCCTCGTCCACTCTGTAGTGTCCCTAACCAAAGTGCTTCTCACACTGCTTCTCAATCGCCAGTGATGCTATCTGCTCACAGACCTGTCTCTCCCCTTTTTCATATCTGTGACCCTGCATTCGACATGGCATCTGACAGAGAGCAGAACACATTTGGGGTTGTGGGGAAAAATACCATAACCAACTGACCTGGGAAGGTAAGACCATCCTCGACTTGCCGCACAGAACTATGGGTGGGCCTCACGGGAGCAAGGGCAGCCGGGCACTCCGTCATATCATACTGTCCGGAACTCAGCTCCTCCTTGGGAAAGAGCTCACTCTGACTCACCTCCTGTGGTATTTCAAGACAAACTCGGTGCCTCTTTGTCCCTATACGGTGTTTGGCTAGGCTGTAAGGAGGAGGGCAAACTTTTAAGAGCCCACATATACATCCACTTACACAAACACATTCACACACATCCAACACAACCCAAAAATGAGTGGCCAGGGCCTGTCACACCTGCTTCACACTTTGGTGCCACCTCTTATTTATAGGATGTAAGACAAGGGACTTCACCCCTGAGCCTGTTTTATCAAATGGAAAATACAGATATCACAACCCACCCCCACAGACTTGATGTGAGGCTTAAGGTATGCAGAGTACCTGACAGAGCACCTAGCACAGAGCAGGTACCCCATAAAGGTCTCTCCTTTCTTCCCCACATAGCCCAGGATAAATGCTCCTCAGAGGACAGATGTTCTGGCTCAGACGCCGACGCCAGCCAATTTCAAGACACCATCCCCTTGCTCCTGTCAGTCTCATCCCTGTCACCATACTCTCCTTTTTTAAAAAGCCCTCCAGTGATGATGAGAAAATGTGACTCTTTTGGCTGAGGGAGCCATGCCCTGGCATGTATGTGACCCTCGCTCCAGCAGACCACAGGCCCACCGACAGGTGCTAGCATTCCTGGGTAACAGCCAGAAGGAGGCCCTCAATGCCCTCGCTCTGAGGATTCTGGAACCTTTACCAAGAAGAAAATGCCCTCGGCTCAAACAACCCATTTAGAAAAAGTCCCTCACCAGATTATGGGGAACTGCCCAGACACCCCTCCCTCAAACAGCTGCTGCGTTACCTTCTCTTCAGGTCACCCTCCTCTCCATCCTCAGCCTCTTCCATGCCCTCCTCTGGGCACTCCTCCTCATTCATGGCTCTTGGGGACAGTTCACTCTCCTTAAGAAACTCAGCGGCTTCTGGAGTAGGCAGAGTATGGTCGATAACTGTGCTGTCCTTCCCAGCTTTCCAAAGTTTGTACCTTTCTGGCTGGAACTTCCTCACAAACACGTCCATGGAGATCTTCACCATATCCTTTCTACAGGAGCACTGTCACAAGTAACCGAAAGAGCTCCAGGTGAGCACACTTTAACTCTGTCCTCCTGATCCCCATTTCCCATCTCCGCCCTTCAGGTAGAAAACCGGACAAGACAGTTTAGAGTCAAACTGTTTGGGTTCACAGACTGAACATGTCCTTGCAGAGCCTTCAAGCATAGAAGGAAACAGGGAAGAAAGGGCAGAAAAGGCATGGTGCTGGGTAAGTCCGCCCGGGCACTAACTAGGATGCGTGGAGAACCCTTAAAAGATGGAATTCTGTGCTTAGAACCCGGATGGTCAATGTCCACCTTCCCCTTGATATCTACCCAAGCCAGGACCCTACAGGCAAGTCTACTCTTGGTCAAATGTCCAGCCCTGCCGCTTCCCTCAAGTAAAATTAAACCCCTAAGAATTTCTCAATAGAGAGGTCCTAAAGTGGCTAAAGCAAGTAATACCAATGTGTGTGGTGTGGTTTTAATACCTAATGGACTTGAGCATAGAAACCCTACTTTATACATCCCAAATCTGAACAAATTTTTAATGAACACAAGATATTGGGCACTTCTGCACATTCCCAGCCATTCTGTTTCTGAATTCTAGAAGTTCAAAGAAAATTTCTAATCACCAGCCAGTGTACCTAACAAAAACCAGACATTTTCAGTCATGATGTGATAGAGAGAAACCAAGCAAACTTACCAGCACTGCTTGTTTGCCATATTCAATCCACCGCCGGGTAGCAAAATTGGTAGACTCCGCACAATTGAAGCCATGGTTAAAGCCGGCATGGTAACCATAAGGGAAAGTGATCATAAATTCTCCAGCTTCCTGAGTCACCTGAACAAGAGCAGACTTGAAGCAGCTGCAACAAATGGCTGAAGCTCACAGAACTGGAACTCTGAGCTCCAGCTCTGCCTCAACTTAGCTGAATAACTGAAGACAAATCATAAAACCACTGGGGTGGTCTTGGTGTCTTCTGTAAAATGCAAAGCCCTAACGTATCAGATGCCACAACTATAATAACCACTCCTCCAAATGAACATTGTTCATGGGGACTTAACTCTCTTCCAGAACCAGGAAAGGTATGGTAGCCCCACCTTGAATACCCTGAGATCAAAGTGCTGTTATATAGCTTAGCTTTGGCCCACACCTGGCACAGAGTGGTGAACTTGAATAAAGCTCCTCTGTGAAACAGATGAGAAAGGGTAGTTTCTGTGAGAGCCTAAGGACACTTGTATGTAAAACCAGCTCACCTTGTCAAAGGGAATTCCATATTTCTTCAGCATTAAAGGAGAAATCAAGGTCATCTTATGGCGAAGGAAAGCCTCACAGCTTTGAGCACTTCCGGGGAAAAAGCCTGTTTTATTGAAAACAGGCACAGGTTAACACACGGCTCTGAAACTAAGCTCTGTAACCCTAGCGTCACTTTACACCTGTGCATCTGGTCTGGCCAATAAGAAGGATGAATCACCAGTGAGACCTCCATGGATCCTTCTAGTTTCAGGCCATTCTAAGATCCTCCAATGAGCCTCTGTCTCCCTTTCTTGTAGGCCATTACATGAGTTATCAAATTCTGTTCGGGGAATTGAGATGACCCAAGTGGCCTCTGCTCTTACAGAGCTTTGAAGCTACTTAGAAACTTTTCCCATTCACCAGTATATCCTTGGTCTTTTGTTAGTAACACATCTACTACAGAACAGACTATCCAAGCTCTCTTGAAATGGGCTCTCTAGAGGTATCAATCTATCAAAGTCCACTTAAAAGAATTCAAGCACAAAATAATTCAATGTTGACTTTTAATCTTTGGGTTTCTGGCAGAAGAATCAGACCAATATGACTGTTGTACTATCCTTGGCCAACTAAACCCATGATCGATAAAAAATGAGGCAAAGACAGTCTAAGAAGGAATTACTAAGCCCCTTCCCAGGACAAGGTGGAGAAAGACACTGGTTTTAGTTGCTCTACTAAGATAACCAAACAGGCAATCTAGCTCAACCCCCCATCTGCAGGCCTGAGGACAGCCACATGAGACTCTGACCACAGACACTTTAGAGCAATGAGCACGGCTCCTAGAAGGGTGTGACCCAGCTATGGAGGAGACACAGTACCTTTGGCGAGGCGCTCCAGCCGCTTCCCGTGCTCAGGGGGAACAGAGTACCTACAATCACATAAAAGCAATGGACGATGAGCAGAAGACAGTACAGGAGCTAAGGGGCTTGTTCCCCACTCTCAAAACAGCTCAAAGTACCAGGTTTTTCAACTTCCCCACTACAAAAACTAGAGAAGAATCTGGAGAAATGAAATACTAGACTGTTTCGGCAGAGAAGTGGAGCACCCACACAGAAGTGAGTTAATTTATTTCTTTTATATTCACTCTTTAACAAGACATGTATTTAATATTTACCATGAGCCAGGATTTACGGTATGTGCTCAATGTTGCTCTCCCTTATAATGTTAATGAAATGAAATAAAACAAAAATAAATGGAAGAAAGATGGCATTAAAGTGCTCCTGGCAGAGCCCGAGAGGTCTCACTGGGATAGCATAAAGGAAGAATGGAAAATAAGATAAATCCTATTTCCCCTTCATCTCCTTAATAGTTATACTGATTACCCAATAATTACTCCTCTGCCCAGTAGGTTATCTAGATACCATAGAAAATGCTCTTGAAAAAAAAAAAAAAAATTAAAAACTATGTAAGACTATTTAAACTTTTGCAAACCTGCTAAACTTTATATTCTGAAATTCAAAGTTAAGTCTATTTTAACCTTAATAATCAAGTCTAAAGATTATTCCACAACAAAAATCTTCTCATCCCAAATAGCTTCATTATGAAACAAAACAGATGAGGAGTTGAGGAAAATGTCTGTCACCTAAAGGACTTTGGGATCCATCAGGCAACCTTGCACAGAAGTCTCTGGAGGTCCCACTTCGGATGACCTAAACAGTGTATATAATAACCAGAAAACCTGCTCTCGACATGAGAATGGAAATCCAATTTCAGGGAACTTTGGAGTTAACTTGGTGAAGACACAAAAGCCACAATTACAGACTCTAGAAGTCTAGCCATCTAAGAAAGGAAATAGGACAGTAGTTAGGGGGTAATCACAGGCTCAAAAAAAAAAAAAACTTCTTCCCAAGATTAGAAATTGAAAAGTATTTGAAAGAAGAAAGGAAAACCCCTAGGAAAGGATGCAGCTGAAGATGCTGGGAAAGGTAATGAAAATGGATGTAGTTTCCATGACTCCCCATGACCCAGCCCATGCTGTTCCCTCTGGCCTCCTCACTCACTTCCATCCTGGTACGCAACACCCAAACCACTAAGAACTTCCTCCAGTTCACTAAAACATCATGCTCTCAACTTAGGATCTCTGCACATATTGTTCCAACTGCCTAGACACACTTCCCTCAGTTTCCCCTCTCCTGAACCCACCATTACCCCGCCCAGCTACGTCTTCCTCATTTGTTAGGTCTCAGCTTAATTGTCGCCTCTTCCAGGGAAGCCCTCTCTAATCCCCACATCACCCCTCATGCACCCTATCCATGTGGATCTACAGCACCCACTGTTTCCCATCAGAGCTTTCCTCACAGTGTTATATTCTCACACTTTCTATCTCCTGTCTGTGTGATGGTAGATACCCCATCTGTCTTATTCACTGCTGTTGAATAGCACCTTCTCTAAATACGAAGACTGAGTGATGGGTCAGCATAAGGAGAGAAAACAAAGCTTTGTCTCCCGAACTAGACTGAGAACATCCTGGAGAGCAGGAAGCATATGCCGAGTAGCCTTGCATCCCCTCTTGTGTTAAGCACACACTGCTGCTCACCAAATATTTTTTCCATGAGGAAAAGAAAGCTTTCTATCATCTGAAGGAGTGACTCCAGTCTTGGAAGTCTGCCTCTAAGAAATGCCTCAGGCCTGTTCAGAAAAAGAAATTAGAAAGCAGTAGGACAGCCTGGAATAGCCTCTGTGGCTCTCAGTCACTCAGCAAACTTATGCTTTCATACAGTGGTATTAAGTGCCCTGCCTTCTAAAGCCTTGCTACTCAAAAGGCACTCTGAGCACCGGAGTTATTACGACAGCATCTCATCAATTGAAAGTCTGTTTAAAATGTAAAATGCCAGTCCCACCCCAAGCATGCGTTTTAACAAGATCCGGAGGTGTCTCCTAAGCACATTAAAGCTGAGAAGCCCTGCTCCACCAGGAGAAGCCCCAGTACCAACTTCGGGCTGTCTTTACCAGGACTTTGGTTCTCCAAAGTGCAGGTAATTGATGCTGTATAAATCCATGTCTTCGGTGTGCCAGGCAAAAGATGTCTTCCACATGCCGAAGTACAGATATGGGGTGTTCACACCCTCAATGGTGATCCCACTCTCCTTTTCCACCAAGTCCAGGATTGTTTTCAGCCGACCAATATTCCACTCATCAACATGCTGCAAAAGGAAATGATAGTTCAGGACAAGTTATACTGAATATAAACTGAGGCTCTGAACCTACAAATCATAGAGTAGGTCTAGGTGAGTTGTCACCTTTAACGAAGATGTGGAATAATGTCAAAACAGCATGGACATGACAGGAAGACCACTCACTCACTTTTCACAGCCACCACTGGAACAGAAGCCATTATACCTCTGAAGGGCAAATACCACTCGGAGAACAGCACTACTATATCAAAGATAAATAAGGAGGTGATAGCCACCTGTTCTAAACCCCAGGAGGAAGAGTTGGAACTGAAGTTAAAGAAATTTAGGTCAAATTAAGGGGGAAAAAAAAAACCTCTTAAACCATAAAATATACAAAATAGGGGAAAATTAACTATACCAATTTATGTCCTTTCTAGCCCCAAATTCCCCTGAGCAATGTTTTCAGTAAAAAGTTTACTGAACTTGTGTTCATACAAATCCTTTTCCTGAGTTGAAAATGGTCAGCTGGGAGCCCACTTCTTACAGTGCGTTCTGGATTATGCCCTGCTTTTGTAGCTCCCCATCCCAGACCCTCATAGTATCTTCCTGCCATTTGTGTCTCTAAGCTTCACTTCCCACGACTCAAAATGACTGTGTCTCTAAGCTTCACTTCCCACGACTCCAAACTTGGAATCTATTTTTTAAATTCCTTCCTTCCAATAATTTACAAAACACTGAAATTAATCTGAGTGATAATCCCTGAAACAACCTACAGATTTTTAATCATCCAGAACAGCCCCAAGTATTCCTTCCTTACACCGTCTCTTGGGCTTTCTTTACGCCAAAAGCACTACATCCCCAAGGCATGCAATTCGTTAAGCTTTTGCTACAGAATCTTAAGGGTTCTGAAAATCTAAAATTTTTCTTCTGAAATATATTCTCCTTTCATTAGATTAGTCAGTGATCTTTTTTTCTGCAGAAACCACACTGCCTCTCCCCCAACAATTCATTTACTGTGATCCCACCCTTTCAAGAACTCATCAGCTACCACCCACGAACTATTCTAACAGCCCTTGCAAAGAATACCACATCATCCAATTCACATGTAGAGTGGGAGAAGTAAAATTCAGTCACATGCAAAAATACCCACAAACAAGTGAGCACAGCACATCGGCTGGTGGTGGATCATTCCTTTGTTCATCCACCCATTCAGCAAGTAGTTTTTAGGGGCCTACAAAATGCTGGTCAGATAAAAACGGCATGACATTACAAAATCACAAAAATGCTGCTGCAAAGTTTCCCGCGGGTCTCACCTTTTCATAGAGAGTGCCATTCACGTCTGCACCATAGATTGGGGGGTTGAATGTGAGATTTTTCCAGTATTTCCGTTCAAGCTCTTCAAACTCACTATAGCGTGGGGTACAGTACCTTTCAAAAGTAAAAGAAGTGTTAACCACTTTCAAGGACAAAATTCATTAGGCATTATGAACAGCACAAGACACAATCCCCTGGTTCCAGGTACAGCAAGATATTTCAAATGAATATGACATAACCTTAGTCTTTAAGGCTCCAATACACAGTAACTTCCTCAATATCCCTTCCATGAGCTCTAGGTCCAAGGAAGGTACTGTACATGAAGGTGTAAGCCCATCTTCCTTAAGAAGCACGGTATCTTCAACTCTTTCACGTGAATCTACTAAAACTACATCCTGCTAGAGTCAGGAGTGGCCTGGCCACCCAAGGAGAGAATAGGCTTCCAAAAATTGCGAGATCCAAGAACTGCAAATCCCTAAACAGTTGACCCTTGAACAACGCGGCTTTGAACTGAGCAGGTCCACTTACACACAGATTTTTTTCACTGAATACTGTAAATGTATTTTCTCTTCATTTTGATTTTCTTAATAACATTTTTTTCTCTAACTTACTTTATTGTTAAGAATACAATATACAATACACATAACATACAATATATGTGTTACTCAACTGTTTATGTTATTGGTAAGGCTTCTGGTCAACAGCAGGCTATTAGTAGTTAAATTTGGGGGAGTCAAAAGTTATATGCAGATTTTCGACTTTACTGCATGCGGTGGGGGTCAGCTCCCCTACTCCTGTATTATTCAAGGGTCAACTGTATATACACAGACGACCAAAACCCACCAGCCTGTGGAGGGCTAACTAAGCCCTGACACAGCACTCCCTTCCTTGCATTCATGTAAAGGAAGAGGTTCCCAAAGAGCCCACTGGTATTGTCCCCGCTACATTCCCAGCACTCAATGCAGTGGCTGACGTTCAACAAATAATAGTGCCTAAAAACAAAATATTTTAACAAAAACATAAAATATTCCTAAAATTATAAAAACAGATTTTGCATATCAAGTGTAATATTTAGGGAGATATATATTTTTATACACATGTACACACATATATACGTGTATATATAGTGTGCATATATATATATATACACACACACACATAAAAAGCCATTAAAAATATCTATGCTCTACTATAACTCAAATGGCAAAAAATACATGAATGGATAGAGTGGAAATGGAGCCGCAAAGACCAAAATGAAATGTATGGGGATAAGAGGATGAGTAAAGAAAAAAAAAAAATCCTACTTTAAATACCGCCTTACATTTTAATGTCAACCTAATGAATAATAAAGTTTTGAATTCTAAAGTTCCTTTGGAAATATAAATAACTCTTCTACCTCCAACTGATCTGCTTTATAAATTTAGATTTTACCTGCTGGGTTTTCTTAAAGCTGGCTGACTATGCAGATAGAAATCGAGGGAAAGAATTTGTTGTATTTTGGATGAAAAGAAAAGACGCAGACTGGTGAATTTAAAAAGAAAAGAGTTACTGTGAAAGAAGAAAAGGTCTACCATATGTTGCCAAGAAGAGACGACCGGCACAGGAGGCTGGGGCCTCTGGTGGAAGCCCATGCGAAACACAAAGCAGGTTGCTTGGCCCCAGTGCACAGCTAGAAATGAGACATAAAGGATGACACAGCCTTTCATCTACAGAGTACATCACACTTCCTCAACGTGCTTTTACATAAATTCTCTCATTAGACAGCAGGTTGGCCAGCAATAGATGTTTTAAGAGTAAGTTGTCAATAAAACTGGAAGACCATATTTAGAACTGTGATGAGCAAAAGGGAAAGAAGGCAAAGCGTAGAAATAGAAAGAGCGAGATCCGATGTGAGAGAAAGAGATGTTAAGGCGCGTGAAGTCAGGCCAAAAAACTGTGAAAACCGGCAAGCTACAGATCTAGCTCTGGGCTCCTTCACAGTGAAGGCACAGCACGTCTGACTGGCTGAAATAAGGCATGCGTAGATCAAAAAGACTCAGGAAAAAAAAAAAGCAATAAAGAGGGAAGAATTCTTGTGGAAACTGAAAATTAAGGAGTGGCACAGGAAGGGAGAAGATCCAAGGGAGAGGATTAAGAAGAAGCAGTGAGAGCTGACGAGGGAAAGACAAAATTCATTTGCTGGACATCTGAGGTCAAATGAGAGCTGTTAAAAACAGTAGAGAAAAATGACTGAAAATAGCAGGCCTAAACAAAGAAAGACATTTCTAACAGAGATGGGAATGTACAGTAAATGCAGAATGGAGCGAGAAAAAAATAGTAACCAGCTTGGTAGTTTATTCACATTATGTTAATGTCAAAATGAAAAAGAGATAGCAGCCTGATGGGTAGTGAGATTTAAGGCATAATTAAAGACAGAAAACCCCTGAAAGAAGAGATTAAACTAGTAAGGCCACTTTGGGATAAGCAGGTAGCATCGATACATCTGGCAAAAAATCCTTTTGAACCAACTCCAACTTTCTCCTTTGCAAATCTGCAACTTACCAGAGTCAGAAAATGATTCTACTTTTCATGGAAAAACAATGAGATTACTTTATGGCAAGTTTACACTGTGACACATAACTGAGAAAGGAAAATGCATCCATAAAAAGGTCAGAAAGGGAGACAGAAGGTAGCGCTGAGGAAACTGGTCTTCAGTAGGCCAGTAGCAGTCTTGCAGAGAGCTGAGGATGAGATGTTAGGTACCAGACACTATGACAGATAAAGGAAGAAACACATTTTCACTCACTTATCACTATTGGCTATCTTGCGGAACTCTCGAACAGTCATGGCTTTCTTCTGTATGTTGTACTGAGTGAAGAGGCCAGACTGCCCAGTCACGAGCTGCTGGATAGGAGCAGGAACGACCAGATCATCAATATCATCATAGGATGCTCGAGGCTTCCACTCCTTTGGAGGAACGACCTGTAGGGAACACAAGAAACAACGAGAAAGATCAGAAACTATCAAGCCGGTGAGCATCCAGGACATTTGTGGGCTGTTATCCAACCTAACAGTCAATTTTACTAGGAACTTACTTTAACCATGCTCACCCAAACACAGCAAGTCACACTGTCATGCTAACTTTGATCCAGTTCTGCCACGAACTAGCTGCCTAGTTGCCATGCCCTAAGGTAAGTAATACTTGTTCGCAGCCCCAGTATCTTATCTGGATACCAAGAAGGGAGGTTGAAGAGTTGATTCTCTCTCAGCCTAACAGAAAGTCCACATAGGAAGCCAGGTGACTGTCAGTGCTGGCTGAGAGTGAAATGAGAACAAGAGAAGTTGGATGGCACAAGCACTCAATGACAGATAAAAACACTCAAGCACCATTTCCACAGAGGAAGCATCATAGCAAGTGACCCTGAGACAATGGCTTTTTCCCCTCCCTTTTAAAGACTGAAAGCAGCTCTCTTCCTATCTAAAAGAGAGATGCTTCAGATGTTAACGAAAGGAATTAACTTGCAAATAGGACAGCACACACTCAGCTCTTCACCTTGCCTGGCTTTCAATAAAACTCAGTTCTTCCAGCCTTCACTTAGGAAGTCTTACTGCTGCCCTGTCACAAAAGCCATGCTGAAAGCCCACCCCTCACCTTGGCCAGGCCAGCCCGATGAGCTCCTTGGGATTCAATGTAGGCAATGTATCGACTAAAGTTCCGGAACTCCTCCATAGTTGGATAAAAGGTCATTATCCGAGCACTGGGATTCAGGGTTTCAGATTCGGAAGCCATTTTATCTCCTTTTTGAGGTCGCTTTGGTCAGGCAGGAATCTGAAGGAATACATTAAGAGTATAAAATTATACAAAATATAATTAAAGTTAAATGCTAGAAATGTCAGTTCTGAAAACAGTAAAAGATGATGTAGAAATCATGAAGAAGCATTAAGACCTCACACCTGGAATGCCTCTAGATAAGTTATCTAAATGAACTAGAAATACGGATAGAAAAGGCTATGTTTAAAAGAACCCGAGGTATCAAAATTGCAGGTATTCAAAACTCATTTAAATGGAGATACTGTTTCAGCTCAAAAAAGGGAAATTGTAATTGATTGTTGGTCCTATCTAACAATACAGCTGCTCTGCCCATATTTTACCCTTATCTTTTCACGTTGCTCTTATTGACACATTGCTAATTGCTTCTCAGATTATTAAACATAATATACTACAATCCAATTTAAAAAGCAACCTATGGGCTCCCTTATATGGCAGAGCTTTAAAACAGGATTCTGTATTCCTGAGTAAAGTTATTTGGTTACAAGATTATAAAGTTTATGGGTTAAAAAGTACTCTGATATTAGTAGCATGAGTTATAATTTTTAAAACCCTAAAGTGAAATTGTTCTCATACCTAAACCAAAATGCAGTTTCAGCAGTACTTAATGTAAGGTCAAGCTAGAGACTAGTTCAAATGCACTGTACCCAGAACTCAAAGGACAAAATTTAAACAGGCAATAAACTGGCAATACAGGGCAAACTTCATAACTGACTAAAAGGGAAATAAACACTTTGTTTTTAGATGAGGCCTCCAGCTCAGTGGGTACATTCCTATTACCAGGTACCACAATAACCTATTTTAACTAAGAACCAAACATACCAGCTAAAAGGAACCAATTTAGAAGCAAAAACGTATGTCCCTTCCTCTAGGAAACTCTAGAACTCTCCCAATCTGGGCCCCAAAGCCATGGCACTTCAGCTCCAAGAGTGCCCTTCAAAGGTGGAGAGTTCGGAAGGGAGGAAACTGCCTCCAATCTACCAACTATCTAATGATATACTGGGAATACTGCATAGAGCAAAACTGCCTAAGAAAGAAGACAGCCTCCCCCGCCACAACACACACACACACACACACCCCACCCCATCCCCACCCCACCCCCAATCCTCCATTTCACCAAAAATAAAGTGTGTTCCTGGCCAGGAACTTTTCATGCACTTTGAGAAAACTTTGCATGGCAGGTATATTGTTATTCATATTTTACATACCGGGTAATTTGCCCACAGTTCTGTAATGCCCTCCCGGTGCTCCTTCCATTACTGTGTGCTGCCTATACATCATAATCTCCACCTAGACTAAGCCCTTTACAAGGGCAGATTCAAGTGTGGAGGAACTTGACGTTTAATTTTGAAGACCCTCTTTTTAAAAAAGAATACAAAATATCTTACTTTTGCAAATTTTATCAAAGATACAATCATGTGAAGAGCGTTAGTGCCCAAGCCCAGTGTTAAGGTCCATCGCCTCTGGCCTTATTCATCTTTGCATGCCTAGAACCTAGAACAATACCAGGCACAGAGTAGGCGCTCAGTAACTGTTGAATAACTTATTTCCTCGGCCTCACCTCAGTTGCTCATTCCTTTTCTTCGACCTTAGAATGCCCTTCCCCCAATCTAGTCACTGGGGAAAGCTCCTGTTCCCTGACACCTTCCTTCTCCTATCTAGCTAGCATCAAAGCCTAGTGGCTTAAGAGCACCGGCTCTGGAGTCAAAGAAACTCTGAATACAGACCCGGTCTCTGCCATTTACTAGCTGTGTGACCTTGGCTGTGTGAGTTGTCAGAGCCTCAGTTTCTCCACCTGTAAGATGGGGATCCCAACCTCATTGCTGGCAGAGTTGCTGTGATTAACTCAGATGATGCAAGCGAAACGCTAAGCACTAGGCCCGGTACTTAATCACTCAATAGAAGTAGCTATTGTTAACAACCATTTCAAACTCCCGCCCCCTCCGTTCACAGCGGCTCCCACCGGTATCTCTCCCAAGGCAGCCCCCAGCTCCCAAGGTCCCTGAACCTCACCGGGTAAAGGTGCGGCCCCTCCCGGCCCCGCTGCCCAGGCGAGTGGGGCCCGGCCGCAGGAAGAAAATAAGGCCCAGTAGACCCGCCCCCCTTCCCCGACGTCCATTGGCCATAAGTAATTGGAAAAGACCAATATCAGGACCCATTTTAGAATCACCCGCTTCCATTGGCTGAGAACCGTGCCCATCACTTACCGCTGGTGTCACCCCCCCCTCCCCCACAAGAGCTCACGGTCAAGGCCACATCAGCCACACACCTAAAAGATTCCAAAACCCTATGGTTCTCACCTAAACCCCACCGTCCCGGCAGGCCTAAGACCCAGCTTCTGCTGTCGCCACTAACCGATCTTACTGCTTTTCCATCTCGCGAAGGACAAAACTCCGCCTCCTCTAAAGTCGGCCTCCGCGCAGCCGCACAGTGCCCTACAAGAGTCAACCAATCCGAGGGCCGCTATCAGTCTTCAAACAACCAATGAGGACGCGCTGCAGTCGCCCCAAAGTCTGGGCTTATCAATTTGCTCAGCCTATGAGCGTCGGCTCGGGCTGTTGCCAGGAGGAAACGCTGTACCACCCGGACCGCGGCCACTGAGCGTCTAGGCTGAATCGCGGAGCTGGCCAATCATAGACAGGCCTTTGGCCGCCCGTAACTAATCAAGATAGAAAGAGGCGAGTGCCTAGAAATGGGATGGTTGGGAAGGGTAAGGGCGATGAGGTTATTGCAGGATACTTCTAACGACTGGGTGGGGCAGAGCATTTTGGGGGTGAGTATGACCCGTGCCCAAGGTAGAAGTGTGCTGGGGGGGGCCCTTAGGGGCAGCTTCCGAGGTCAAGGAGTTTCTGATAAAGTGACCAACTTGTCCCAGACTGTCTCCGTTTTTAAAACGGAAAGATCATATCCTTGGGAACCCCCTCACTCGCTGGCAAACGGGGACATTTCTTGAAGAAAACAGTTCCTGAATGGGAAGGAGCTCTGCGGGTCATTAGGACAGGTCCTGATGGGAGATGTCCTTAGAGTCATTAAGAAGCAGTTCCTCAGTGAGCAAGGATTTGGGGGTCATTAGGAGCAGCTCTTGGGAAGGAGATCCTGGGAGTCATTAGACGCACTTCTGGGGGATGAGGGGGGCTCCTAGAAGTCATTAGGAGCAGTTCCTGAGACGTAGTGAGTCGCCTTAATTAAAGAGCTCCCAAATTGTCAAGGGCGATGGGGGAAGGAGACCTATGGAACACTCCGATAGGTCAAATAGAAAAGTAGAATAACCAAAGCCAGAGTCATAAAAAATATATAAAATTACCCATACATGACTAATGCTGTAGTGTACTGGAAAGAGATTTGGAGTCAGATTTGTGTTCCATACCAGTGCTCCTCTGTGCCTAGGATTTCCCATCAGTAAAATGGAATAGATAATACTAGGCTTGCAGGATTGTTATGTAGATGAGTTAATATATGTTGGGGGGAAAGGATGGTATTATATACAATGGTACGAACGTGGACCAATCATGATATATCTCCTGGGGCTGGGCACATGCTTCCCTCACCTTCCCCCCGCAAAACAGAATTCTGTTTAAAAGACAAGAGAATGACCATTTGGTAAGCAACCAATAGTCTTTCGCAATAGTAATGTTTTTTTCATTGACCTAGTAAAAGCTCACCAAATTACTCCAAGTGTGAAGGATCCAACTTGAATGATACATAATGAGAAAAATCACCCCAAATCATGCCATAGAATTTACCACTGTCCTTGCTGCAGCTCACCTCACCAATTTCACTGTCCTGGACGTGGATGCAATTACTAGTACTGCTGTCACTACCAACTACTCCATGAATTTGATCTTGTTACATTTCCTCCTACCCTAGAGGATTTTCCAAGATTGCTGCTACTTTGTATCACTAGCTTTCAATTGGTAATAGGTGGAACCAAGATAAATTGTCTTGATATCCTCTGGTTTCTCTGACCAGTTTATCTTAGTCATTTTTTAAGCTGATCTTTCCCACTCTTTTAAGTGTTGATGTTCAAAGCAAAACTAATCTCTGGTGAAGTCAAAGTTATGGTTATCTTTGGGTAGGGAACAGGGAATGATGAGGGGCCAGGGTAGCATAAATAATGCTTCTGGGGGTGTTGGTAATATTTTATGTCTTAATCTGGATAGTGGTTATTAACACTAATGTGTTCACATTGTAAAAATTCTTTGAGCATATAAATTGTGCATAACATTCAATGTACATGATACCTTAATTTTTAAAATTAAATTTAAAAATTGTTTTTAATTTTTTTTAAAGAAAGAAAATCATTTTTTTGGAGCATGGCAATGGAGTCTATGAAGCCACCCCAGGAGCTGGAGCTGTAGTATCTCCTCTTATTCCACTTCATGTTGAATAAAGGCTGTATCTTAAATTAAAAAAGGGAAGGAAGGAGCGAGGGAGGGAGGGGAGAGAGGGAGGAGGAAGGGAGGGAGGGAGAGAAGAAAATCATGATGCCCTTATGGCTGCATCCTTTGCCTTCTCTCATTCTACAAACTCCTTAAGTGTTTTTGGTTTCACAACTCACTAGCAGTACGACCTAGGGCAAATTAATTTCTCCAATCCTCAGTTATATAATAACTAAAACTGGAACTTCCCCTTTCTTCGTTGTAAGAATTGAATGAGATAATGCAGGTAAAGCACTTTGAAGTTGAATTGGCATGTAGTAAATGCTTAGTAAGTGTTAGCTAGGTGATGATGATGATGGTAATGATATAAAGCACTTAGCATAAAGCCTGAAAAAAAGCTCAATACACTTTCACTCTGAGGCTTCACTCATATGTGCACACTGATGACATCCATTCTATACTCCAGCACGATCTCCTCCCTTGAGTTCAGATCCATATATCCTCCTATATCTAGATCCCTCCCCCTAGGTGTCCTACGAGTACCTAAAACTCACATACCCAGTAAAACAAATCTCTTTGCCCCATAAATGACTCCACTTCCTAGGTTTCCTATCTTAGTTAGTGCGGCAGCCATCGACCCACTGCCTAAGCCAGAAACCAGTATGCAACTAGAGACTCCTTCATGGGTCAATTACCTCACCCTGTACAGTTCCACAAAGTAAATGTTTTACAAGTTCATGTTTGTTTACATGTCCATCTCCTTCCACTAGACAAAAATCTCTCAAGAGTACCATGTCAGTCTTATTGGTAGTATCATTTAGAAAGATGTTCCATTGCCAGAAATAGAACCCGAGCAACGGTGGCTTAAACAAACATAAAGTTATTTTTCTCATGTATTAAGTCTGAAGGGGAGTATCTACTGGCATTGGCTCAGTGTTCAACAAAGGCATCAAAGATACAGGTTCCTTCCATCTTTCTCTATCATACTTTAAACCCTAGGTTTGGCCCTCACATGTGTACCTCATGGTTATAGGGTGATTGCTGTAGCTCCAGACATCCTGTCTAAATTCATGGATTTGAGGAAGAAAGGGACCACATCAGCAGCACCTGTTCCTCCTACCAGACCCAGCAAGAAGTTGCCCAGAATCTGCCCACCCTTCAGTAATGAGTGGAACAGTACTTTTCCTGCCCTCATCGTGTTTACCATCTAATGAGGGAGACAGACATGAAACACATGCTCAGGCAAATAAATAAAATCACAGTTGTGCTTACCACAAAGGAAAAAAAAAGGGCGAGAACTTTAAGAGTGATTTGCTAGTAATGGCAGTAGAATTTGGAGGTAAAACTCTGTCATGGCATAAAGTTCATGCCATGTTCCTAGCTTGAGGATTCTTTCCTAGAACTTCCCTTTATCCAGCATCCAGCACAATGCCTAACACATAGTATTATCTCAGTAATAATAATGGCAATATTATTAGCTTTAAAGTTAACTACATTTGCTGAGACTTTATTATGTTTCAAACACTATGCTAAATGCTTGATATACACAAAAGTTTTTTACATTGTCATTAGCATTTTTCTTTTTATAAAAACACTTTTATTGATGTATAACTTACATACCATAAAATTCACCCATTTTAAGAGTATAATGAAATGATTTTAATAAATTTACCGAGTCATGCAACCATTACCCAATCCAGTTTTAGAACATTTCCATCACCTCAGTAAAACCTGCCACATCAATAAGATCCCTCATGCCCAGTTACCAATCACTCTCTGTCCCTACTCTTAGCAGCAGACAACCATTCATCCACTCATCTACTTTCTGTCTATATAGATATGCCTTTTCTGGACATTTCATATTAACAGAACCACACATTATGTGCTCTTTTGTGTCTGGCTTTTTTCACTTAGCATAATTTTTTTGAGATTCATCCATGTTGTAGCATGCATTGGTATTTTTTTTTTTTTTAATGTTGAATAGTCTCCCATTGTAGTATTGATTGACATTTGGGTTGTTTCCAGTTTTTGGCTATTATGTATAGGGCTTCTATCAACATTTATGTGCAAGTCTTTTGTTAATGTTTGTTTTCAATACTCTAGGGTAGCTAACTAGGAGTAGAATTTGTGTTGTCTGGTAATTTGTTTACCTTTTTAAGAAACTGTCAAACTGTTTTCCGAAGTGGCTGTACCATTTTATGTTCCCATCAACAACAAAGGAAGATTCCCATTTCTTCCTATCTTTGCCAACATTTGTTATTGTCTGTCTTTCTGATTATAGCCATTCTAGTAGGTGTGAAGTGGTATCTCATTGGGGTTTTAATTTGCATTTCTCTAATGACTAATGATGTTGAGAATCTTTTTATATGTTTATTAGCCATTTATATATCTTCTTTGGTGAAATGTCTATTCAAATCTTTTGTCAATTTTTTAATTGGGTTGTTTATCTTAATATTGAGTTGTAAGAGCCCTTTAGATATTCTGGATACAAGTCCTTTATCAGATATAAGCTTTGTAAATATTATCTCTCATTCTGTGGCTTGTCTTTTCATTTTAATAGTGTCTTTTGAGTGCAAGAGTTTTTAATTTTGATGAAGTCCAACTTATCAGTTTTTTTCTTTATGAATTGTGCCTTTGGTGCATTGACATTAACATTTATATAGTTCTGCTCTGCCTCCAAAATATATCCAGAATCCAGCACTTCCCTCCACCTCCATTGTCACCACCCTGGTCCACGCCACCATCATCTATAAACCAGTGAGGATAATTCTCCCTGCTTCTGCCCTTGCAATCTCAACACAATAGGGCTATTCTTTAATACTAGAAGCCAGATCATGTTACTCCTCTTAAAACCATCAAATGACTTCCATCTCATTCTGGATAGAAGCCAAGTCCTTATAATGACCTATAATCTTCCCTTACCTCCTCCCTGTATAACCTCCCCCACCCCTCCACACACATATTCCTCCAGTTCTCCATTCCTCCATGTCTGAATGGCTTGCTCCCCCACCTCCTTGATGGCTTTGCTGACATATATCACCTCAGTGAAACCCTTCC